TGAAAACTATTGGGCCGGCCCGGTGGCGCACTGGATAGTGTGCCGCTTGGGAAGCGCGGCGGCGCTCCCACCCGAGGGTTCGGATCCCACATGCAGACCGGTTCCCGCTCACTGGCTGAGCGAGGCGCAGGAGCAACGCCGAGGGTTGCGATCCCGTTGCCGGTCCCCGGTCCGGTGCGGGGGCAACACTGAGGGTTGTGATCCGTTGCTGGACACGGAAAAAAGACAAAAAGACAAAAAAAAAAAAAAAGGTTGAAAACTATAATAACTAAAATGAAAAATTCCACCAAAGGGTTAGAAGTCAAGGAAATATCCCAGAAAGTAAAACAAACAAACAAAAAAAACCCCAAAAAACAAAGTTAGCAATCATAGAAAAAATAAGAATACTAGAGAATTAATCTAGGAGGTCTACCACCTAATTAATAGAAATCCAAAAACGGAAGAGCAGAAAAAAATAAAAGAGGAAGCAAAGAAATGGTCAGAGCAACACTACGAGAAAATTCCCAAGGACTGCGGGATGCTAGTGTCCGGCCCGGAGGCCGGCGAGTGACCAGCGCGGGTGTCGCCAGGCACCGCGAGGAGCTGGAGGTCAGCAGGAGACAGCCTCGGAGCTCCCAGAGAAACACAAAACAGTCACGCACGTTGGATCAGGAACCAAACGACATTCATCTCCCAACAGCAACAGGACAAGCGAGAGACAAGCCTCCGAACTCTGAGGCGACATCCTCAACTTGAAATCCCATCCCCTGCCAAGCTACTCATGGAGGGCAAGGGCGAAATACAGGGTCTGCTGATCCATAAACTCGAGATGTCACTCAAGGGCCAGCCCCGCCGCTCCCGTCGGGCGGCCTGGGGGGTCACCTTACCACCAAGCCTCAGTCCACCCTGGGAAAGCGGCGTGAGGACTGGGGGAAAGGGGGCCCATCAGAGTGCCCAGCACATAACCCTCAGGAGAGCTGCGGCTGCTGTGGCAGGGGCCACATGGCGGCGGCTCCCCGGGAGGACTCCTTCCCACTGTCCTGCTGGACACATGGATTGGGCCCACCAGCCTGTCCAACCCCAGGAGGTGGAGGTCCCACCTGGCCAATCCCTGGTAATGACCAAACCCCACTGGGGTCTCTGCAGGGCTGCCCTCTCCACCTGCAGGGTCACCTCCTGCATCTGTCCTCTGCTCTTCACACCACCCAAGGGCATTCAGTGGTTCCCCATGGCCCCAGGAGGAAGTGTGACTGCTGTAGTGTGGCATTCGAGGTCCCCCTATCTGTGCCCCTGCCTACCTTCCTGGAGCTAGCCCAGCCCCAAACAACCTGGCCCCACAGCTCACAGTCCTGGGGGGGCCCCTTCACACCCTGGAAAGGTTGAATAACCACCCCCCATCCCCAACCCCAGCCTCCTACAGCCGGCAGGGAGGAGCAGTGTGCGTGGGGGCTCCTGGTGCCACCTTTTCCTGCTGTGTGACCTTGAACCAGCCTCTCAGCCTCTCTGAGCCTCCCCTTCCTTTTCTTGGAAATGGCCTCTCCTGGGGTGGCCAAGTGGCTGAAATAACCCTCTGTTGCCCAGTAAGCAGACAGGGCAAGGCAGCTGGCCACCAAACCTCCCCGGGCACCGGTCTTGTATCCAACAGACACATCAGGCCCTGGAATTGCCCTTGCTCTGGGGTCCCTTAGTGGGTGCTGTGTGCCTGGGTCATCCCGCCTGCACTGGCCTTGTCTGGCAGGGAGCCCAGGCCCTGGCCCTCCCCTCGTCCTCTGTGCTGGGTGTGGGCTGACCCCAAGCCCACCTTCCCTGTGCATCAGCACTGGCTTAGGTCACCCTGGCAGGCGACGGTGACTCAGCGGCCCACCCAGAGCCCAGAGACCCCGCCGGTGGCTGCGGGGGTCCCTCCTGTCCGGCGCCCGGGCCAGGGAGGAGGGGAAGCAAGCGGCAGGCAGGTGCCGCCAACTCCTTGCCTGGCCCTCCGGCCCTCGGTGGCGACAGCAGGACCCACCTGGCGGCCCACCTGGGAATGACACCCGCCGTCACCCCCGGGCTTCCCACACGGCCCACGCCAGGGGCGCCATCTCCTGGCATCTGCGAGCTTGTGCCCCTGGCGGAGCGTCCTGGCCCCCAGCTGGCGCCCTGTCCCCGGGGTCTGAGCGGAGGCGAGACCGCTGGGCGCGGGGGACGCCGAGAGTGCGGGGCCTCGTCTGCGTGTTTCGGGGCAGCCTCTTCCGTACTGCCCGGCCGCAGACTGGCTTTCCAGGAGGGCCCGCCACGTGTCCCGGGGACACTGGCGCTGACCCCAGAGGGC